CTAAAGTGATCATATTGTGTCCTGCTTGATCTTAAGTTGATATTCTATCTAAAGACACATATTTTCTCATTATTCTGTGATTCTCTCAGAGCTGCTGGAGGCACATTGTGCAAATCAGGAGCTTATTTATGAGCGACATAGGATCTCAGGGGCCCGAGCACAACATGAGCACAGCCCCCGAGTCATTAAAGAGTGATTTTGGCATGCACTTCCACTCCTCTCACAACCCCCTCTCACCTCCCTTGAGGCTGGAGCAGCACCTGCCCCCCACTCACATTTGAACAGTCATTTAAGATGCCAAACATATGTGCACGCATTCTCTCAATTTAGCATCCATGCTGTCAGACACACACGCCCACATGCTATATTTGTAAATGAAATGAAATGAAAATGAAAACATTTAAACTCAAGAGAACATTTCAAGAGCAGCTGGATGACGTGTTTCTGCACAAAGACTTGCAGCAATACGCAGACACCAAGGCTGATGTTACCTTGTGTTTTTTGTTTTTTTACCAGTGGGGAAAGGCAGTGTCGAGTTTTGTGTTAATAGGCGGATTGATGGTCGCAAAGGGTTATGGGTCACCTCCCTCACTTGCACCGGGACAGGATGACGGTTCTGGCTGGTTGACTGTGAGAAAATACCATTTAGGAATGGCTGGTGACACGTTTATTGAGCCTGTCAAATTAACAAAAGCAATGAGCTGAGCCGGGAGAAGGGTCACAGTAACACACACACATACATCGACAGAGGTAGAGGAAAAAAAAGCTTTTAATATCGCCTGATCCAGAAGTTGTACATCAATCAAACACTGATCTCTGAGTCACCTTGGGCTCTTCAGAGCCCCTGCAGAGTTGTTTGACGTCAGTGGTGTTAGCAAAGCGAATGTGGTGTGAATTTTACTTCACTAATTCTGCTCTACAAAGTGCAGGGATCCATACTAAATTACTTTAAGTATGTTAAAGTACGTAGGATAGAGACGACGAGATACGCAGATATGTTCTCAGACAGAGCTCGTACACAGAATTTAAAAACATTTGCTGCGATTTGGTGACCCCAGAGTGCAATACTATCTTTAATATGGACAGCTGTACACGTCCATCTGTTATGATTTCATTACTTACGATTATCAAACACTAGTGAACACACAGGCAACCGCAACAATACAAGACATAGCAAGCCAGCTCATATTACTTACTAGTCCAACAGCAAGAAGGCCAGCGTCTATCTGCAGCCTTTTATTTCACAAAGCTCTGACCAACGACTAAAAGCCAGTCCAAGTTTTACTCTTGCTGGGTCATTCTCTACTATTTCTCTTCTTAGCTTCCTCCATTGTCCTCTTAGGTACCTTCTCCTCTGCCATTAGCTATTCCTACAGAAGCTGCTGAGCCTGGTTGCATAGGCCACTTGCCGGGCACCCGTTCTAGCACAATGCCAGCGCTTCTTTTTAGGTTAAAGTCATTCTCAATCAGGCATTAAAGGACCAGTGTGTAGGATTCAGTGCCATCTATTGGTGAAGTTGCAGATTACAGCCATTTGAATACAGCTCAGCCTCCCATATAGGAGAAACTGCAGTGGCCTTGAAATTCAGATTCCAGGCAAGGCCCTATCTAGAGCCAGTGTTTGCTTTGTCCATTCTGGGTTATTGTAGAAACATGGCATTTCAACACGGAAGAGAACATACGTAGATAAAAACGTCTCATTCTAAGGTAACAAAAACACAACAGTTCCTATTTTCAGGTGATTACACACTAATGAACACATATATACCTATACCTTTTAAATTTAATATTATATTCCATTTCTGCCAATTGATCCTCTTAAATGTTACACACTGGACCTTTAAAAGAAGACATGAATGTCAATGAGACATTTACCAGAAAGAAACAAAGGGCATGTATCTCTACTCAGGCTCAGATGTACTGTTTTGTTTTGCTGTACAGTATCTCCATCTGTGAGAACTGTGTGCCGAAGCTTTGTCAGTGGAGGAAGGGGTTGGCTCCTAAATCGAAATAACACCTCCAAATGGCTCAATAAGTGCTCCTCCTCCCTCTCATCTCCATTAAGAGGTTAGAACAGTCAATAGGTCCAGCCGAACACTGGGGACTGACCCTATTGATTTCACCAACGGGGGAAGGAGGGCAGCCATTAACTGTGCACTTCCTGTGGCCTTGGTGGAACAGCTAAAACTCACTGAAAACCTGACTGTATTACCGACTGATCCCATGCTTATTTTTTCTTTAAGTAAACTGAATTTTGTTTAATTGATCATTCATTCAACATCAGTAAACCTATTATGTATATTTATATTATTGTGTCTGGATCATTGACTGTATATATAAGGTCTTGATTAGCAAGCAGCGAGACATATTATGCAGAAAAATGTATATTGTATGTTGTGAATTTGTCTGACATACACAGTCTATAACAGTATATTGACCAATCACATACTGCAACAAAGATCTAATAGAATATTTACTTTGGCAATCAGGTAGTATATTAAATCATGTTATGTTATGTAAATACAGTTTATTTATCTGAACCTCTATCATGTAATATAGACACCTATAATGGGGAAACAAGGCATTTATGTGAATATGAAAGTTATAGTGGTTAAATTAAACCTCCTAGAAGTACAACAAGGATTTCAACACACAAATCACTTGTTACTTTTATTCATGTTCATTGTGAACATTTTGGCTATTCCTTCTTCAGCGTGCAATAGTTTCATGGTGTTTCTAACTTTTCCCTATAGTGTCAATTAACTCGATACCAACAGGTACACCAAGTGGCTAAAGCTAGTCAGACACTTCTGCCGCTGTCTATCAACATAAAATAAAACTATACATTTACAAAAACTTAATACAGATTATCTCCACTATAGTTCTCTGGGTTTGACTGGTGTGAAGTCCCACCCATTGTCATGGATGCTGTGCATTTGTGTTAACTTAGGTTGTCTTGACTTAAACCAATTTATTTGAAAATAAAAAAGTGGCAGAAGGCACTGGTCATCTAATCTCCATTGTAAATAAAATTTTCTTTATATGAGTGTGTGCTGCTCTTTAGTGCTGGAGTGGTCTTTTCTTGTCCCCCTTAAAGATGCAAAACATAATAAAGTCCAATGTCCCTATGTGAATATAGCAGAAAGTGTAGTAATGGTCAAGTAGAAGTTGTTTTTTATGTTATTCCCTCCACGCTGTCTGATTTGTTTCACTATTTGTTCTCCTTTACAAATACTCGGGACAAACACAGATTTGTTTGCTTTTTTTTTTATCAAAAAAGGATATAGAGTATTTCATTTTGACATCAACAAACCTCTAAATTTACACAGCAACAGAAGCCATAGAATCACACCGTAACTTCAGAGGCACACAACAGGAAACTTTTAACTACTTCAGGTTGCACATTTGTCAATTTTGAAAATGTAGAATCGCCTGTTTAGGTTTCATCCATAATGTCAATGAATATTGTGACAATGAAATCAGGGTTGTAAGGGGAAAGAAGGAGGTACATGTGGTTACGGGGGTCCAGCCACTGAATGAAGAACATTTATCAAACAAAAAACTGAGGAAAGAGAGACAGAGAGAAGGAGAGGGAGGAAACAACATCACACAGTCCATGTGGACCACATCAAAACAAAAACAGAAACATGAAGAAGACGAGCGTCTGCTTCTCAGACATAGCTCGTTTTATCATTCTCATCTGGTGAGCAGCCCCGTCACAAACTCCTTGCACTTTCTTGTGTTCAAAGACGTTTGTGCTGGACTCTATTACTATATTTTCATACATATATTTCTATATTTTTTCTTTACAAGTGTTTATTTTCTACATTTGTTATCACAAAAAACACGACTTTTAAACAAATGCATAAAAACAGTTACATAATGACTGTTCATGACTTTTGACCAGAACTGTTACTATGGATTTATTGCTTTGTACACTGAGTAATGTTTGGTGCCACCTGCACACTTGGAGGTCCATATGCTGGAACCTTGCTGCTAATGGTCTGTTCTCCTTTAAAAATGTTTGACTTCCAGCTAAATCCCAGCTCTGCTCTTCACTTTTGGTTAATTGTGCAAAGAAATTGAAGCATCAGTAACAGTTTCTGAGACAAAGACAAATAAGTTCTGAAAAAAAGAAAACAAAAAACAAAAAAGACATACTACAAATTTCACGTTGTTCCATGCATAAATACACATCCACACACATCTATATTGTGAAGTGCTGACTTAAGGTCTCCACAGACAAGTGACAAATTAAACAAAATTGCCCCCCTTCAGACCTTGTCAGTGTAAGTGCACAATGAGGACAAAACAGATGCTGGAGGCTTGTTTGTGTTTGCTCGTTCTTTCTATTCAGGAGCCTAAAACACTTTTCATTACCAGGCTTCCGTACGTAAAGACAGGACGTTACATTATACATTAATTCATAAAACGTCTAATCGCACCTCCATTCTGTAATGGAAATGGACTAATGGCAGTTTGTCTAAATTGCAAACCTTTGTGATTGCCTTCCTGCTATATTGTCTTTATAACTGTAAAGAGAAATCTCCTGTTTTGGTGAGCTTTATGCAAAGTATAGATATATACGTAAACATCCAAATACTTGTTCAGGAATGTTCACTAAAACCTCTATAATGTCTTTTGACATTTCAACTCTTCCCCCTTTAGTTTTAAAGGCTCTGAAAACATATTTTCTCAATAAGCTTCTGATGGGATCCTACATGAATACTCAAATTTCAGCGAAAGTTAGAACCGTTTTGATTATTTGACACAACAGATTCTTGTATTTCATTTTATTTTTCTTCTCGCTGTTTTTAAGTGAGTGGGGCTCAGCTACAAAAAGGTGATATTACTTATTTCTATGCACCAA